TAAAAAAAGAGAAAGGAATATTTGCTCTAAGGTCAGTGTGGCAAGCCAGAAATTTCTACCAAGTGGAAGTTTCCCAGAGAGAGAGCCCCTCAGGAAGGCTCCCGTGTACACAGAAGCAGGGTCCTCGTGATGAACTATTTCAAAGGGAGCCAGCAAGGCGCTGCCCACAGATCTCACGCCGTCAAGACCGCTGAAACCGGACTGATCTCAACTGAAAATAAAACGAGAGCTAGCCTTTACTGAGCGGCTACGGAGTGCAGGCCGAGGCAGGCTCTGGGGCATCTAGTCTTCACACAACCTGATGGAAGGCACAGTCCACTGAGCTCAGGGAGGGGCAGGAGGAGAGGAGGGGCCTGGGGGGGCGGGCAGGGACACAGCGCCCACCTGCTCTTCTTGGCACAGCCTCTCCAGGAGAACTGAGCCCTGCTGTTGGGCTCCGTTCCCAGTTGGGTGGAAGAGGAGGATGCTCTGGGGTCTGTTCCGTGGGCTGCTCCCTGGCAGGGGACCCAGGGGCGGGTGTAAGGATGGGCCCTGGGTCAGTGGATCCGGCGTTGGCTAATGAGAGACGGTCCCCACCCTCCGGACAGTCAGGGGCTGGTTTTCCTAACTTCTCTAAATAAAGCGTGACCGTTCTTTATACACACTGTTATCTCTGATAAAAAATAAGCCTCTACCACTTTGGATGTTCGGTCCAGAGGGTAAGATTTCGTTAAACTGCCAAGTACGTGAACTATATTAACATCCCTCTATTGCACTTCTCCCATCCTGGGACGGTGAGAGACTGCTACCACCTCCTCAGCAGGCATTCTCCCACTTTCCTTTTATTCTCTCAGGTAAAGAGGCCCAGCTAAAGGACTACATTTCCCAGTCTCCTTTGCAACCAGAGGTAACCCATGAGATTTAGGTGGGGATTATTGGGTAAGGTTTCCAGGAAAACTCCATTAATGGGACTGAAGGAACTAGAACAGGGGTGGGCAAACTTTTTGACTCGAGGGCCACAATGGGTTCTTAAACTGGACCGGAGGGCCGGAACAAAAGCATGGATGGAGTGTTTGTGTGAACTAATATAAATTCAAAGTAAACATCATTACATAAAAGGGTACGGTCTTTTTTTTTTTAGTTTAATTCATTTCAAACGGCCGGATCCGGCCCGCGGGCCGTAGTTTGCCCACGGCTGGGCTAGAAGGTACCCTCTTTACACTCTCCCTGTCCTTCCTGCCTGGAGCGCAGGCGCGGTGGCTGGAGAGCCAGCAGCTATGCTGGCCTGAGAAGAGACCCTGAGAGTAAAACCAGCACTAAAGCGGTAGAGATGAAAGAAGACAGGGACCCGGGACTCCCCTGTGCCAGCCCAGGGCTGCCTTTTCTTACAAAAATCAACCTCTAGCTTGTTTATACATAGACAGTCAGACCTCGTTTCTCAAACGTCTCCCATCTCCAACACTTCAGTTCTCCATCAACTTGTTCACAGACCAAAAATATCTCGGTTGTCGACCAAAATTTCAGTTTTCGACCTGACAACCCTTTCATGCTGATACCTCTGCATGACAACACGCAAAGGAGAGAATGCTTTTGTGGCTGGCCGATTAGCACAATTTTAAAACATAAAGAGGCCATCAAGAGTGCTAATGTTGCCCGGCCAGCATGGCTCAGTGGTTGAGCTTTGACCTATGAACCAGAAGGTCACAGCTCAATTCCAGTCAAGGCACATGCCCGGGTTGTGGGCTCGATCCCTAGTGTGGAGTGTGCAGGAGGCAGCTGATCCATGATTCTCTCCATCATTGATGTTTCTATCTATCTTGCCCTTGCCCTTCTCTGAAATCAATAAATATACTTTTTTTAAAAAGAGCACTAATATTGCTAAGGGTGTGAAGTGCTCACAAAACAGCAATCACAGGCAATTGAAGAGGTAGAAAAGCTGTTGTTTGATTTGGATAAAGGAAAAGCAGTGAGCCTGTGTGGTAGCATTTCGGAGGCAGTGACAGATGAAAAATTCCTTTAAGGCTAGTAGGGGGTTCGATGAATTTAAGAAGTGTTTATAGATTAAACAGTACATTAGACATGTACTATGTGTAAGAAAGGTGGAAACAGGGAATCATTTGGGGGTCTGGAACAGATTACTTCCATTTACATTATTTCTAATGGGAAAAAAGGATTGCGTTTTTGAACAAAGTGCTTCTCAAACAGCCTTCTGGAACGAGGTTCCACTGTACACACATACAATCACACACACGCACGCCTGGCCAGGCTTAAAGGTCTTATTTGTCTAAGGCAGTGACGGCGAACCTTTTGAGCTCGGAGTGTCAGCATTTTGAAAAACCGTCTTAACTCTGGTGCCATGTCACATATAGAAATTTTTTGATATTTGCAACCATAGTAAAACAAAGATTTATATTTTTTATATTTATTTTATATATTTAAATGCCATTTAACAAAGAAAAATCAACCAAAAAATTGAGTTCGCGTGTCACCTCTGACACACGTGTCATAGGTTCGCCATCACTGGTCTAGGGCCTCCCAGCCAGCTATGCAAAGAGCAGGAACCCAAACAGAAACTTGTGAGTCCTGGGCAAGAGCTCCTCCCACTGTAGCACAAGGCCCCACCAAACCCATGGTCCCGGCAGGGCCCCGACTCCCAAGGAAGAGGACCTGCAGGAGTTAAGACAATGGGCTTCAGAGATAAGCCTCTGGCTAAGAGGCTCTGCTGCGTCTCAGCTTCCAGACCTGGGACGGGACTTCACCTCCTGGTGCCTCAATTTGTCTACGTTATACATTCTATAAAATGGGGTTGATAATAACACCTCGTAAGAGCCTTTCAGAAGACTAACAAAGTCATAGATATAAAGCACATGGAGCCCGGCCAGCATGGTTCAGTGGTTGACCATCAACCTATGAACCAGGAGGTCACGGTTCAATTCCTGGTCAGGGCACACACCTGGGTTGTGGGCTCCATTCCCAGTGCGGGGCCTGCAGGAGGCAGCCAATCAATGATTCTCCCTCATCATTGATGTTTCTATCTCTCTTCCCCTCTCCCTTCCTCTCTGAAATCAATAAAATATCCTATATAATAAAGAGGTAATATGCAAATTGACCATCACGGCCTTGCACAAGATGGACGCCACAAGATAGCTGGCAGGGGAGGGCAGTTGTAGGCGATCAGGCCAGCAAGGGAGGGCAGCTGGGGAGGACGAGGCCGGCAGGGGAGGGCAGCTGGGGGCGACCAGGCCTGCAGGGGAGGGCAGTTGGGGGCAATCGGGCCGGCAGAGGAGCAGTTAGACATCGATCAGGCTGGCAGGGGAGTGGTTAAGGGGTGATCAGGCAGGCAGGCAGAAGCAGTTAGGGACAATCAGGCAGGCAGGCAGGCAGGCAGGCGAACAGTTGGGAGCCAGCAGTCCCGGATTGTGAGAGGGATCCCAGATTGGAGAGGGTACAGGCTGGGCTGAGGGACAACCTCTCCCTCCAGTGCACGAATTTTGTGCACCAGGCATCTAGTATATGTATATTAAAAAAAATAAAATAAAATAAAGCACATGGATCAGTGCAGTCTCTCAAAAGACACCAGCTACTCCCATCACGATCACACCTCCCAACTCCCCACCAAAGACAGAGGGGTCAGGCACCCTGGCTTGGGAGCCCATTCCTCCACACAGGCTGGCGAGGAGGATCCTAGAGAGGCCGTGGGCACCCAGTGGCCCCCAGGAGGGAGGCGTGGGTCCCTCCCTACAAGTCCTGGAGGCCCTGCAGCTTGTCTGGGAGGGGGGCGGGCCGCACCTCAGAGACTCCTCTTTCCGCTGTTGAAGCTGAAGCGCCTCCTCCTCCTCCTCCTGCCGCAGCCTCTGCCGCAGCTGCTGCACCTTTTCCCGCTTCAGTTCCAGGAGCCGCCTCTGCTCTTGCTCCAGTTCCTGGGCCACCGCCTCCTCCATGGCCTTCCGGGCGGCCTCTGGGAGCTGCTCTGGGAGAGCCAGGAGCTCTGGAGATCGCCTACCAAGGGGAGGGAACAGCAGTTCACAAGTGTTAATACCACCGCCTTTCGGCACCAGGTTTACAGAGCTACGGGTCATCACAGACCCTAATGGAGGGCCCTCCACCAGGAATCACACACACAATTCAGGTCCCCCAATGGGGCAGAAGGCTACGCCCTCAGAGATGCAGGCAGCATCTGTTCTACGAGACAAGCCCCCTGTGGCTGCTAAGGCCGCGTGAGCCCAGGGAGAAGGGCAGCCCACAGCAGGCCCTGCGGACCCGGGCCCAAGGCGGAGACGAGGCTCCCAAGCTGGCGGCAGAGGAGAAACTGAAGCGCTGGCCCTGACGACTCCTCCCGCACGGCTCAAGCCCACTCAGTCCCTCCACTAGGGCTGGGCCTGCTACTCGAGGCTCCTGCCATCAGTTTGAAGTCCCCAGAGGCTGCTCTTTGCCTCCCAAACTGCACAGAGGCCAATGCATAGGAGCCAGGGGGACGCAGCAGCATCCCTCCCAGCCGAGACCCAGAACAGTCCACAGAGGCCCAGGGACAGGAAACCCTGCCCCCCACACTGCCCAGTGAGCCAGGCAGGGGACCACCCCTGAGCCAGAGAGAGAAGCAGGAGCACAACAGACGCCAGGCTCCAGATCTCCGCACCAAGGAATCGATGTTTAAAAGTAGATCAGCGAGTCCTGCTGGTGTGCTCAGTGGTTAGTGTCAGCCCGAACACCAAAAGTGTCTCGGGTTCGATTACTGTCTAGAGCAGTGATGGCGAACCTATGACACGCATGTCAGAGGTGACACGTGAACTCAATTTTTTGGTTGATTTTTCTTTGTTAAATGGCATTTAAATATATAAAATAAATATCAAAAATATAAATCTTTGTTTTACTATGGTTGCAAATATCAAAAAAATTCTATATGTGACATGGCACCAGAGTTAAGTTAGGGTTTTTCAAAATGCTGACACGCTGAGCTCAAAAGGTTTGCCATCACTGGTCTAGGGCATGTACCTCGGTTGCAGGCTCGATCCCTGGCCCTGGCTGGGGCTCATGTAGGAAGCAACCAATCGATGTGTCTCTCACATCGATGTTTCTCTCTCTGCCCCTTCCACTCTCTCTAAAAAAAAAAAAAAATCAATGCAAAAAATATCCTCAGGTGAGGAGTAACAACAAAAAAGGGGGAAAGAAATTCAGAGCTAACCAGATGCATAAGGTGGGTGGTAAGGACGAATGGTATCAGTTACAAAGATGTCTATAGAGTAACAAGGTTGTTTGTTGCTTGTACACTGGTTCTGAAAGAAATACCCAAAGAGAAACCCCAAGGACATTTAGAACAATGAAAGCATAAGTGAGATAAAGTGTTTCGCCTCCCAGAGCGGTTTTCCTAAAAGCTAGTACACATTTGCATTCCCAGGTCCTAAATCTTACGTTAGAAATTGCTCTTGCCACCCGACTACCACCTCCTCCCACAGTGCTCAGGCCTAGCAGGGGGGCCCCCGTCAACCTCAGCAGCATGTGGCTGGATCCAATCCCAGGAGCAGGGAGCCAGCCCCGGCTGGGGTCACAGAACCCCTCCTCCCTCCAGCTCTAGCCCTGCAGCAGATGGAGGGCGGCCCGGGCTTGGCTAGAATGGCAGGTGACAACAGGCCTTTGGAACAATTCCCTCTCCGCCCCTTGAGACCACAGAGAGAAGGAAGGCATGACATCTCTGAAATACCATTAAAATCTTTCCTTCCTCCATTCCTAAAATTATAACTCAGACCAGAAATGGTCCTGAGCTATGTCTTTAATTCTCTGCTGCTGCCAGCTCCACCTCCCCTCCGCCCAACACCCCGCTTCCTCCCAGGCCCCACACAGCCCAGCAGATGCAGATGTAAGCGATGCGGCTGCCACCCCCTCGAGGATCCTGCCCTTGAAAGAGCCTCCCCCAGCTCTCCGCCTCATCAACCCTCCAACTCATTTCCAGCCTCTGCTGCAAACGCTTTTCTCCCTGAGATGGCTCCTTTACTGCATCTCCCTGTGGGCTGTGTAGCCATGTGGAACCCCAGGGACAGATGCTGTGGGAAGATGAGGCGTCCACAGCACAGCAGCCTGAGAATAGCTGCACGCACCACACCAGCCTACTTCTTAGTGCGCCTCTTCTCCGTGTCCCTGCTCTAAAGATCTACCATCCTAAGCTCCCTTCAGGTCCAAGGCAGGCAACACTGGCCCACAAGGCAGATCCCTGCGGCCACTCGGGGTGAAGCCTGCAGAGGGAGAGGCAGGTCTGCTTTCTAGGCCACCCTCGGGCGCCAGCCCCAGTGGGTCCCTGAAGCAGTCATGGCAGGCCTGGCAGGCCGGAGTGAAGGAGAGGAGGAGAGAGGGTGGCAGGAAGAGGCGGAGGGAGACACGTCCCGGTCCCTCTGGCACGGCCGTGCACCACTGACACTGGGTTGCAACCAGAGATACCTGTGTCCCCACACGCCCGTGGTTCACCTCATGTGGGCGTGGCGAAGGGAACAATGTCCCTGCCTCCCAGACCCAGGCCTCTGGCATGACGCGTGCATGGCGGTGGCTGCCTGCGAGCCCAGCCCTCGCTGCTGCCCTGCCCTTTGCTCCTAACCCCTCTGACGCATCATGACATCTGTGAAAGGCGCCGGCTCTGTGACTCACGGTCCCTCACCTTCTGTGCTGATGATGCTTTGACATTCTTAAAAAGCTTGCTGGTCAACGAGAGGCTGCCCCTCCCAGGACTAGCCAATTCTCATAGATAGTCCTGTGCCTATACCCCAGCCCCTCCTGGTTGCACACCACGGGGGTATTTCCCTACCCTAAATCACCCAGAGACCACCCCACACCCCCAAGTGCACAACATTATTCAAACCATCCAGTCCCACACTTCAGGCACCTACCCTGCCTCATCCATTCCTTCCCGCGAAAACCCCAATAGAGGTTCTGGACCATGCCCTCCCTTCGCACCTCTCCTGCCTCCTGACCAGCCCTGGTTCTTCCCCCGTGGCCCTGGTGGCGTGGCACGCCCTCTTCTCTGGAAATGTTAGTAACATATTCCTCTTTCGGAGCCATTGGCCTCTCCACGATGCCAGTTACCTCCGTGTATTAAAATTCCACAGGTTCGAATGAGGCACAAAGCTGCTCCCCACAAACCCGGGGAAATCACCCCATTCCTAACACGGCTGTGAGGAGTAATGACAAGGGAGTGCGGGCCCTGGAAGACTCAGAGGACAGAAGGCGTGTCCCACGGGCCCTGTGTGCACTGCGCAGGGCGTGTTCCCAAGGCCCCAGCAGGGCAGCATCGCTGGGACGGGGAGAAATGCAAGATGCCCTGGCGGCCCTCACTGCCCAGCCTCTCTCCCAGAGGTGCTGGCGACCACCCTCTGACCTCTGACCTCTGCCCAGGGCCCTTTCTCTGAACCACTCATTTCTGTCCTCATAGAAAGCACCCTGACCCGGGTGTCCACAGCCACCGAAGAGGCCAGGGAGCGAGTCCCCCCTCGGGGCAGAGCTGTTGCTGCCGGCTGGTCAGCACCTGAGAACAGGCCCCTCAGGACATCCCCCTGCAGCGCAGGGAGGATGCGAGCTCGGGTCAGTGTGCCTCGCCAGCCCCCGGGGCACTGTCAGCAAGCCATCTCGGTAGGCGGGTGGGCGGGTGGGCAGGTGGGCAGTCTCCGCTCAGCAGGCAGCCCCGGGCCCCGAGGGCGTGGATGCTTCCGAACCACTCAGGCCACAGACAGGCACACCTGGGTGGCCCCGGCCCTGCCTGGCCCTGCCTGTCCTTGTCGAGAACAGCAGAGGCCCCACGAAGCCAGACGTCCCAGGGACTAGAATCTAGTCCTAATTCTGCAAGCAACTAGCCATGTGCCCTTGGGCAAGCCCTTCACCTCCCTTCACCTCAGTTTCCCCACCTGTAAAAGGGTGTGAGAAGGGAAGGTGAACTGGGCAGAGAAACGCTAAATGATGTCTGGTTGTGGTGAGCTTCAAACCCAGACACAAAGAGCCCTCTGTGTACCATCCAATCCACTACATGCAGGTGGGACCTGGAATACCGGGTCTGCGGGCAGAAGCCAGGACGGGGTGGCCGGGGGGGCGGGGGCATGAGGAAAGGCTCTCGGGGGACGGGATGCTCCCGTGGGATCCGGGGTGGGTCCGTGGTGTGTACTCGTGTAAACATTCGTTGACTTGTACAACTCAGACTTGTGTACTTCCATGTATATAAATAGCTCCAAAAGCTTCTGTTTGCTTTTTCTCAGAGCGGGCATTTTTCTCCAATTACAGAGGAAAGAGAAAATAATGGGGGTGGGGGGATGGAGGGGGCCAAAGGGGGACATATGGAATACTTTCAACAATCTATCTATATAAAAGCCTAAGTGACCATCGCAACCGAACAGATGACTGAACAGGCTGCATGGAGCGACCAGGCCAGCAGGGGGGGGTTAGTGAGGGACGACCAAACGACTGAGCAGCAGGTTGCAGAGATGGTGGCGCCCACAGCCAATAAGGAGGGAATATGCTAATTGACTGTCACACTCTCAAAGATGGCAGTGCCCACAGCCAATGAGGGTATATGCAAATTGACTACCATGCCCTCAAAGATGGCGGCACCCACAGCCAATAAGGAGGGAATATGCAAATTAACTACCATGCCCTCAAAGACGGCGAAGCCCACAGCCAATAGGAGGGAATATGCTAATTGGCTGCCACGCCCTCAAAGATGGTGGCACCCACAGCCAATAAGGAGGGAATATGCTAATTGACTGCCACACACTCAAAGATGGCAGCGCCCACAGCCACAAGATGGCGGTGCCCAGTCCCCTCAGCCCCGCCAGGGTGGCAGGCATATGGCAAGGCTGGGCCCGCCCCCAGGCAGACCCGGCCATTCCGCCCGCCTGCCTCCGGAGTCCCCAGTCCCCTCAGCCCCCCAGCCGCCCAGGGCCGCCCGAGGCTCAGGTAACAAGGGCCGGCCGAGGCTTGCGCTGCCAGCAGTGGCAGCAGCAGAGGTGTGATGGGGCGTCGCCTTCCCCTGATCGCCGGGTCGCCTCCCGCCCCTGAGCGCTCCCGGACTGTGAGAGGGGGCAGGCTGGGCTGAGGGACCCCCCACTCCAGTGCATGAATTTTCATGCACCGGGCCTCTAGTAAAGAATAATTAAAAAATAAATTTAAAAAAATAAAAAGAGAAAATAGTGCTTGGTAAAGGGGAGAACATGACTTACCAGGTTTCTGCTAATGACTAAGGAGGTACCCCCTCACTTGCACCCTTGCTCCCCAGGTCCTGACAAGGGGAGCCCTGGGGACAGTGATGGCTCCTTGGGGTCTCAAGGTTGCTCACAGAACCAAGGGTACACTCCCTCCACCCCCACCCCCGCCCCACACCACCTCTGCGGGGATTAGAGCATCTTTCCCCACCACCCAAGAGTGCGTGGAAACAGCCCTGGCTGGTCTGGCTCAGTGGTTAGAGTGTCAGCCCGTGGACCAAAGGGTCCCAGGTTCCATTCCTGGTCAAGGGCACATACCTCGGTTGCAGGTTCATCCTCGAGTAAGAATTTTAATAAAAAGAGTGGATGGGATCTAAAGCTACTCACACACGATGGAGGATAGGCCCAACCCACAAGAACTGGCCCTTACCCCTCCGGAGAGATGGGCAGGGTGGGGCTGGCCACCACCTTCTCCTCGGGCTCCTTGGGCTCCTCGGGCTCCTCGGCCTGGGAGCACGGCGCCTCGCCACTCTTGCAGGAGGCAGGTGGACTTGGGGTTTCATCCCTTGATAGCAATAAAGAAGCAAATGTGTTAAAGGCAGGAGGCTCCAGTGGCACCCCATTCGGGGTCAGAGAGCTGTGATGGGGACAGGGAGGCAGCCCCAACCGGTTCCCTTCCTCAGGTCTTAACTCTCCCTGCCCTCCCTGCCTCTTCCCGAGCTGTTTACAATGAAGAGCAGGTGCGCCCTCCCACGTGGGAGGCAGAATGCTTACTGGACCCAAGAAGTTCTGCCTGCAGCAGCTGCCCCATAGATGCTGGCAACCGAGCATGGATGCTGCTCAACATCCCAGGGACTCACTGCGCCGGGTGAGCCCTGAGGCCAGCGTCTCCCCTTGCAGACAGCACCAGCACCGGGGTCTGGACCTTGGCTGGCCGCAGGGAAGCCTGGGTAGGGCGCCTCCTTCTCCTGGCACACTACGGGGACCCCACAGGGGTGCTGCCCCACCAGAGGTGGGATGGCCACTGGCTGGAAGAGGCTGGTGGGCGGAGACTAGGAGAAAGGGCCCCTGGGCAGGCCCATCACAGCCCGTAACAGGTAACAGCAGTCTGCGCAGCCCTGCTGGGGAGGCAGCTGGGCCAGAAGAGACCTGCCTCATTCAGGAGTTCCTAAGCTCCCCTAATCAGACGAGGCACCCCAATTTCAGCTGCAGACTGACTACTCAGAAGAGGCCAATCTCCTCACCCTCCAGCTCCAGGAGGGCCACTCGCTCCCCAACTTCTCCAGGCCCCCAGCCCCCCACACACAACTCCACCCAGGTCGGCCGCGCCCTCCCGGGAGGCACACGCTCACTCTTACCTGTGCAGGGACTCGGGCGGGAGGGGGCTGTGTGCAGAGTGCTCCGGGGGCTCCTGTGTCCCCCGCCGCTCAGGCGGCCCAGCAGGGGCCTGCAGAGGCCCTTTCACAGTGGCCTGGCTGTGCCGGGGACTCCCAAGCCGCTCCCCGTACAGAAGTGAAGGGGATACCCTGGTCAGACCAGCCAGAGAGGGGAGTCAGGAGGAGACTGGGGTGCAGTGGGGACCTGCGTCCACTCCTCCTTCCAGCTGGACCCCCCGCCAGGGCCCCAGGTTCACGGAGTGGTGAGGGCAGAGGGCAGAGCAGTGGAAGAGCAGGAAGGGAGACACCCTGCTGAGGGCTCCCGTCCTGGATTGGACCCAGGGCCCTGCGCTGCATGTGCTGGCCCCTAGCAGAGCGGCACACACCCTTGGGGCACAGAGGCCGCATCACTGGGCCAGGAGGGATGGAAGGACCCAGCAGGAAATGGGAAGGAAAGGGGAAGCCAGATTCAAGTGGTCAGACTATCGGAAATGCTGAAGCTGCAGCTTCAAGGAAGAATTCTGATGGTTTTTCAAGGTCCAAAAGGTAGAATGACTGCCCTCCCCCTTCCAGGTGACAGCCTTTGCCTTATCAGGGCTCAAGCCTGAGAACCTGGAAGCCCCCCCGCCACACACACACACAGCCACGCCTGTTCTGCTGTGCAGGGCCCTGGTCCAGCTCTGAGCTGCAGAACTGACCCTCCTGCATGACCCCCAGGGCTCCCGCGGCTACTCCAGCGCCGGCCACAACCAGACACACAGTTCAATCCCAGCAGTGACAAGTCGGAGCCCCGGCCCACAGTGGTGCCATGTGCGGAGTCAACCAGGCGCCAGCAGCTCTTCACTCTCCTGTGTTGGTGTGGAATCACAGGTCTGCGCTCTCACCCACACTCACACACTCACACAAGCATATACACTCACTCATACTCTCTCTCTCTCTCTCTCTCTCTCACACACACACACACACACACACACACACACACTTTACCAGGCCATCCTGTCGGTTCCCATGCGCCTTCAGGCAGGAGCACCTGAGCCACGTGGACCAGCCAGGAGTTCTGCCCAGCACACATCCCCGAGTTCCCTGCGGCGGCCTCCCCCAGCCGTACCTCTCGGAGCCTTGGGACCGTTTGCTCTGCAGCTCATCGTGGCTGGACTGGCTGTTGTCCTGGTCTTCTCCTCCCAGCCTCTGGGCCTGCAGGCAGCAGTGGTGGAAAGTGCATATTGGAGGGTCTGATGTAGATCCCTCAACCCTCCCACTGACAGCCATGCTCGGAGGAAGCAGTAAGAGTGGCTCTTCGGTGGGTGAGGACCCCGCGGGATGCAGCAGAAGCGGCCTGTCTACTGTCCAGTCAAGGCCCCTGAGGTTCTGCCTAAGTCCCGGCTCCCAGCTGCTCCCAGGGCTGGCCGGGCTGGCTGGGGAGGGCGAGCCAGACACCACAGCCACTGCGCCAGAACCAGAAGCCAGGGCTGCAGGAAGACACACAAGAGGAAGGAAGGCCTGCCCCTGCAGCTGGAAGCGCTCACTGTCGTTGAAGAGATCTGTGAACAAACACCCCATGTCCTCAGCGGCCCGGACCTCCAGGGCCAGTGCCACCAAGGACGCTGAGACACCACGGCCGCAGGGGGCAGCCGATAGCTCCATCTGAGAGGAAGGCTGCGCCCAGACAGACAGACAGAAAGGGAGCCTGACAGGGCTCCTTCGCTCCGTCCACACAGCTCCCATCAGCGGGCCATGAGGCCGCTTCCCAGGCAAGGATGCACATCTATCAGAAACCCAACAGATCTCGTGGTAAAGCCTGGGCCTCGGCACATGTAAAGAGCGGGACAATTCTTGATGAGTCTGAGGATGTCCTCCAGGGGCGGGGCCACACGAGTGCAGTGGTGGTCAGCCTCGCCTCCACCCGTGCCAGCCACGGGGAGGACTCAACCAGATTAGTGCCTAAATGAGAGCCGGTCCCCGAAGAGGGCTGCCAGTGAGCTCCCCTGCGCACACGCCTCCCACCCCGCCCCCGCCTAAGGCAGATAGGCAGACAGACTGGCAGGCAAAGGAGCAGCCACTCCTCTGGCCTCTGACAGCACAGGAGCCCTGGGCAGGAGACAGCTCACTCCCTCTTCCCCAGGGGTTCCTTTCCCTGGGTCCACAGTGTCCCCCCAACACACACCTCTCCACTAGCAGCCTGAACCCCAGCAGCTGTGGCCCACTCTGCCATCTGGGCCTGAGCTAAAAGCCAGCTCCCCAAATTACATTAAAAATAAAAAGGCTGCCCTAGCCAGTTTGGCTCAGTGGATAGAGTGTTGGCCGATGGACTGAAGGGTCCCAGGTTCAATTCCCGGTTTGTGGGCTCAGTCCCCAGTGGAGGGCGTGCAGGAGGCAGCCAATCAATGATTCTCTCTCATCATTGATGTTTCTATCTCTCTATCCTTCTCCCTTCCTCTCTGAAATCAACACAAAAATATATATATTTTTTAAATAGGCTGCCAGAGTACCTTCTGGTGCCCGCAGCAGCAGGGCTCCCTGCCAGGGCTGCCACTCCTCCTCACGTCAGCCGCAGAGAACAGCGGGGCGCAGTCCTCATCCCGCTCCACCTTCCTCCCGTCCGTGTTCAACTCACAACCTGTCTTCCCTCACCCGGCTCAGTAAAGAGCTCCCGCTCTCATTTCTCAGCACAGCATCAGCACAGGAGTAAACGATGGGTAAGCAGGTAAATGCGGCGGTTGGGGGGGGGGGTGCCTTGATTCGCACAGCATCAGCGACGGAGTGGTCAGAAGCTCCGTCCCAGGCAGAGTCGGGGCCAGGCCCCAAGCACTCCAGAGGGAGGAAACTCCGTAAATGCATCCTGGGATGGGCAGGGCTCCGCTCTGGGCTACCCCAAAAAGGGAGACCCTGGCCACCCCCAGAGACTCACCGGCCAGCGGGCTCCATCCGGGACCGGGGCAAGCACGTCCACATCCAGCAGGTGCTCTGAGATCCGGCTGCGAAAACCGAAGTCCTGGAGACGGTGGGCGGGAAGGTCAGCGCTGGCCCTCACCCCGCACCCGCCAGGCCCCTCCCCAGCCTCCCAGGAGGACCCGCCACACGCCAGGCGCTGCACCAAATATTCTGGCATCTAATTACTGTAATCTTCAAAGCAACACATGAGCAGACGGAAAGAGGTGACCAAGCAAGTGTGCTAACAGGCTCGCTGTGGACTGCAGGTGTGTGCGCAGTCACTGTAAATCCTCTTAATCGCTCTGGATGGTTGAAATTTCTCATAGAAAAGTATGAAGAAAAAGAGCCCTGCTAGAGCAGTTCTCCTATTCGCATCTCCCAGCTGAGGAAGAGGCCTCACCGCATCTGTCACTTCCCCAAGGTCGCGCCGCTGACAGACAAGGGGCTGCGGGCAGATGTGCCCGGGACAGACTCCAAAGCCCAAGCTCTTGGCATGACACCTGCCGCAAAGCTTGTCACTTCCCGCTGTCTCTCCCTCCTGTGCCCACCGAAGCGCCCGGAGACCTGTGGCAGCTCGGAAACGGCGCGTGGGCTCCTCCCACTTGTCCCGCTCGCGTGCAGGTGCCTCCGAACCACTGGCACTCCCAGCAGCTTCCTCACAGGCTTCTCGCTGGGGCAGGCAGCAAGCGCCACACAGGAGCCAGCCCCCTGCTGCCCCGGCTGCCAGGTAACCATGCTGCCGCCCCTCCACCCGAGATCCCACTGGGCAAGGTGAGGGGCTGCTACCTGGCAGCATGCTACCAGGGACAGCTGTCATCAGCCCTGACAAATGGCGGACGCCCAGCCACGTTCTGGTCCTGCAGCCTGTGCTGTCCTCCAGCCACCCGCTCAGAGAAGCGAGGACAGCTGGGCACCGCCTCCACACAGCAGCCCCTCGGAAGGGCAGAGCCCACCAAAGAGCCCCGAGAGGTGGCCCTTCTCCACGCAGCCTTTGCCCGCAGGGGCTCTGCCTTGCCTTCCTAGCTTATGAGTTCCTTTTTGGTGACATTTCCTTTCAGGTGAGTCTACTCACTATGCAGCTGCATCTGGCTCTAAGCCCTCAATCACTGCTGCTCAGCCTGACCCTCTTCCCTGAGCCCATCCCCTTAGACCACCTTAGCCAGACACCAGATCCCTGAGCCCATCCCCTTAGCCAGACACCACAGAGGGAGCGCGGCTTCCAGAGGCAATGCTTGGCCCAAATGCATCCGAAGCACGCCCCTCCGCCCCGCAAACGCAGGCCTGGCGGGCGCGGGACACTGCAAGCTGCGGGAAGGGCTGGACAAGGAAACCATAGAGGCTGCATTCCAGGACTACGTCCTGACTTTAGATATGCCAGCACCCGCCTGGCCAGAGCCCGAGACGGTCCTCGCCATTGCTTAGTGATCACGCACGCACGCACGCACGCACATGCACACACATGCACGCACATGTGCACACACACACATAAACACACACGCGCACACACAGTCTGTGGCCACCTAGATCCAGGTGACGTTCCTGCGGAGCCCAGAGGCGGTGACCTCGCAGGACCTCAGGGCATTCACACGGCAGCCCTGGCAACAGCAGCGACCTTTCTTTAAGGTTTATGTGCTGATGGTTCCTTGACCCAATTTCTTCTCATGACAAGCTATGAAGTAGGCGGTATTATCCTTAGTGATGGCCTAAGAAACTGGAGTCAGACAAGACGGAAGTTTGACTCACACTTCCCCAGGTATAAGCTGTGATGAACGGCAGACACTTAAGCACCGTGACCCGCGAGCGCACGCCTTCTCCCAGCCCCTGCTCCCTCCTCTGACTCACCAGGCCAAGGCGGGACTTGGAGTTGGAGGCATCGAAGTCTGAGCCCTGTAGCTCCTTCACGTGTTCACTGATCTCCAGCGCCTGCGGAGACAGACCCACAGCAGTCACCAGGACAGCGGGCTGGGGGTCAGGATCGCTGGGGAGACAGACCACAGACAGTCACCAGGATAGAGCGCAGGGGGTCGTGATCCCCGTGAAGATAGACCCACAGACAGTAACCAGGACAGTGGGCTGGGGGTCTTGATCACTACCCAGGGAGCTGTCAGGCCAGGACGCCAACATGGGTCTAAGCCCAAACCAGAGCCCGCCTTTTCTGGAAAACTGAGAGGCCTATGGACCCTCCCATTCTCTCTGGACATAAGATTCCAGCCCCCAGCCCCTGAGCTGGTGGCCCAGGTGAGTATGGACAAGAAGGGTCTGCATGCTAAGGAGAGCCAGTGAGTGCAGTGGGCATAGCTAGGGAAGTTTGATGCTATCCTGAAAACAAACACAGCATGAGAGTATCCTTCCCAGGAAGCAGTTAAGAGCTTCTTAAATGAATTCCCCCACCATCCACCTGGAGGAGCAGCAGGACTAAGGGCTGGAAAACCAAAAATGCCCATGGCCCTCCCCCGGTCTGACTTCTGTCCATCGGGTCATGGCCAGGTCTTGGATTGGTGCAGAAAGAGCCACAGAAATCAATGAGGAGTCGTCTTATGACCTAACTGCCCAGGGCTGAGCAGGAACCCCAACTGCCTTGCCCACACGAGGTTCTCCTCTCTGCAGGAACTCAGATTGCTGCAAGCAAGGCCAATCCCAAACTGAAGGCACGAAGCAGCGGGAGAGCCCGGACAATGTGGCTCAGCAGTTGAGCGTTGACCCAGGAACCAAAAGGTCGCTGGTTCGATTCCTGGTCAGGGCACACGCCGGGGTGCCCAGGTTGTGGGCTCGATCCCCAGTAGGGAGGCGTGCAGGAGGCAACCAATCAATGATTCTCTCTCATCACTGATGTTTCTATCTCTTTCTCCCTCTCCCTTCCTCTCTCTCTAAAAATCAATAAATATATATTTTTTTAAAAAGAAAAAGTAGCAGGGGAGGCAGTAATGGGAAGAGGAAGGAAGTAGACCAGAAGAACATGGCAATCCCAGGAGGCTCCCAATGGAAAGGCCAGTGTCTGCTCCGAATTTCCTCAGGAGGTTACCGCCCGCTGAGTGGGCCTGTTTACCACAACGAAGGCCTCTGGCTGATGCTCACTGCCCACCGCAGGCCTGCGGAGGGAGCTCCTGCCTCCGTGACAGGTCTGGGCGAGGGAGCAACCAAGGCTGCCCAGGACGCCTGTGGGACAGACTCACGTCACTGGCGTCTGATCCGCTCTCTCCCAGGACAGGGGCCTCCTCCTCCGGCTCCCTTGTGGCCTCCTCCTTCCTGGAAGCCTCCCTCGCTGCAGCCGGGTCCTGGGGTGCGTCTCTCTTACTGGACGTGGCGGGCTGGTCGCCCCCAGGGCCCACCAGACTCGTGGCCGTCGTCACAGGGTCACTCTCATGACTCTTGTCTCTTCCGGGGAGCCGGGCACTCGCCCCTCCTCCCTGTCGCCCTCTGCTGCCTGCACTGGCCAGGCTGCTGTCTGCACCTCGGCCGGAGAGCCTGCCGTGAGTCGGGGGGCGGGCAGCACCCAAGTCAGGAGAGAGGGCCTTCTCCTCATGCTGGCTTGTTCCTGGAGACTCCTGGGGAGCGTGGGCCATGTCAGAAAGGAAGACAGCAGGAGTCAGTACACAGCGTTTAGAGGCTTGCGGCAAGTCGGGTCTCCTTGCCGCCTCGGCCACTGCTCCAGTCCTGACACCAGTGGTTATCAAGCACCCCCAAAGCTTTGGGGAGCACAGACCCCTGGCTCCCAGACCCGCTGACCCCGAATGCCATGGTGATTCGGGGAGGCCCCACCAGACCCCGTCCGCAGAGGAGCAGGGACACCGCTGCCTGGAGGTCCGCGCCTCTCATTCCAGCCCCGAGAGACAAATCGTAAGATCGCAGACAGTCGGCATCTATTCACAATGACTGTGACGGAGAATCACATGAGAAAAGCACCAGAGTCTAGGATTTCTATTTCTCATCTTCAGAAGGCAGCAGGGAGGACACCTTCCTCACAACAGCAGGTGCAGCCACCGCCCAAGCCCCCTGCACAGGCCCTGGGACGGGTCCTCGTGGGAGCACCCACTCAGGCTCTGAGCACACGTGCCAGGATGGGCCAGGGTGCCATCCATTTACTGTTAAGGATAAAGGAGGGAGGGAAGCCTTCGAACACAGGTCTCAGACCTGCGACTGGAGGAATGGAAGGAGGACGCTTGAGGAGGAAGCCTCGGGCCACAGCAGTTCTGAGGAATGTGTGTGTGTGTGGGGGGGGGGCACCTCAGATAGAAATGTCCCTGTTCCAGGGCCTGCTGCACCCCATCCACTCCATCAGAAGCACGGCCTTGGCAGGAGCCACAGGGAAGCAAAGTCAGCAGCTGGGGACTGTCGACCTGCCCCGGGCCCTCCACCAGGGCCTCCTGAAAAACAACCTGGGCAGCGGACTCCACCACTGCTGCATCCTGCTGCTCACACACATCTCGCTTCACACCTGCTGCTCACACACATCTCGCTTCACACCCTGCTGCTCACACACATCTCGCTTCACACCCTGCTGCTCACACACACCTTGCTTCACACCCTCCTGCTCACACACACCTTGCTTCACACCTGCTGGTCACACACACCTCACTTCACACCTGCTGCTCACACACACCTCGCTTCACACCTCCTGTTCACACACACCTCGCTTCACACCTGCTGCTCACACACACCTCGCTTCACACCTCCTGCTCACACACACCTCGCTTCACACCCTGCTGCTCACACACACCTCGCTTCACACCTCCTGCTCACACACACCTCGCTTCACACCTCCTGCTCACACACCTCGCTTCACACCCTGCTGCTCACACACACCTCGCTTCACACCTCCTGCTCACACACACCTCGCTTCAAAGACTAGGATACCTTTGGAGCTGAGCTGGTCTAAATAAACACAGGGCCCCTTCCCTGCCCCAGAAATGCAGCCAATGACCTCTCCTGAGCTCAGGCAGGGACGCCTCCCCCCAGAAAACACCTGTGCCCACACCTCAGCTGCCAGTGCGCACAACATCCAAGACCTCCCTGCCCCAGTCACCCAATCAGGGGGCCTGACAACTAGAGTCCACAGGCCCAAGGAGCAGCCCCAGCACAGCATCCACTGACACTGCCTGTCAGGGGGCTGCTGCACCCACAGCCAAGGTGCCTGCCTGCAGGTCCAGCAGCCCACTGACCAGCCGCCCAGACATGCCAGGGCCCATTAGGAGAGGCAGGGAATTGGAACATCTCAGAGCTCAGCCTCGGACACAGACCACCTAGGTGAAAACCCTAGCTCCACATTAGGCAAGTGAGTTTCCTTCTCTCTGCCCATTTCTCCTCTAAAATACAGGGATACAGCCCTAGCCAGTTTGGCTCTGTGGATAGAGCATTAGCCCTCAGACTGAAGAGTCCCGGCTTCAATCCCGGTCAAGGGCACATAACTCAGTTGCAGGCTGATTCCCGACCTCAGTCGGGCGCGTGTGGGAGGCAACCAGTCAATGTGTCTCTCTCACTTAAATGTTTCTCTCTCTCTCTCTCCCCCTCCCTTCCACTCTCTCTAAAAATCAATGGAAAAATATCCTTGGGTAAGGATTAACAACAACAAAAATACAGGGATTGAAGGAGGCCTGCCTCACAGCGTTATTGGGAAGATGAAATGAGCAACAGTCGTGGAGCTAAAGAACTTACAGCTGTGCCTAGCATACCATGACTGCTCCATAAATTTTAACTGCTGTGTTCTGACAAGACCCACACATTCATTCACTGAGACTCATGTGCCAAGCACCACCTTGGGGACCTAAATATGAACAAGGTGTGGATGGCCCTGAGGGAATTCAGATAAGTATGGAGAAAAGTGAAACGTCACAGGGGGCCTGGGTTAGGAGCCTTTACTGCCCGAAGCCAAGGGCACTGGACCTGGCGGGGACGCACCCAGGGAGAAAAGCATGGAGGCAGGGCACCCGCCAGTGCTGCCCGTCCTCGCCACACCCCTAACCTGCCCCATGGGAGGAATCGGCCTCAATCACGGAGCTGAGAGAAGCAGGATAAGCTCCTCTTCTTCAAAACAAGCATCTTCAGGGCGAGACAGGCTCCTCATCTCAACATCCCCAAGAGTGGCCAGCTCGCAGCACAACCAGTTTGGGCGGCTCCAAGGACTCCAAGGAGGAGGCGGGGGTCCTTGGGATAGGTGAGGGTGTCTGGCAGCCACACTGCCTCACTCATCAGAAGCAGGCCGATCCCCCAGCCATGCTCACCTCAGGATTAAATAAAGGCGGCAGACCAAAGATGGCAGCATAGGTAAATGCCAGTACTGGCCTCCTCCCACAACCACATCAAAATTACAGCTAAAATACAGACCAACCATGATTCAGAACCACCTGAAATCTGGCTAAATGAAGTCCTACAACTAGAGAATTAAAGAAGAAGAAACATTGAGACTAGTAAGAGGGGCGGAGGCACGGAACGGGCCGGTCCGACATCCACATGTGGCATGTTTTTAATTGAAAGTAACATCATCTCTGCGGAAGCTGCCTGTGAGGAGCAATGGGTCCCAGCCCCACACCAGACCCCCAGCCCCACACCAGAAGACAAGTCCCCATTAATTCAGGCTGTAAAAACCAGCGGAGATTGTGGCTGAGTGACATGGAGGCTGCTGGAGTCCCAGGCAGCTCCTCTTAAAGGGCTGGCACACGAACTTACTCGGACTCGATCCCTCTGGGCTCCAGTGCTGGGGTAGCGGCTTGAAAGGAATCTGGGACACTTGGGGAAGAACTAGATTGTCTAGCATCAGGGCAAGAACTCTGGAGGCAGCTTTCTCCCAGAAGGAGGTGCTCACAGGGGTCATTGTTCTGGTGCTGGAACCTTCCCAGTTGCAGAGCTGACTGGCAGCCATATCTGAGTTTCCATCAGCTTGGCCCACACTGGGGATTCCTTAAGACCCTGCCCCACCCAAGCCGTTTGCAGAGGCTTTTCCATACAAATGGCCTGTCCTGGATTAGGTTTCAGACTTTCCTAAATCTCTCAAACAAGCTGCAGCTGGTGAGAGCATGCCCCAAATCTATCAATAAGAGGCCCAAGATCCAACACTAGCACCAGCCTGACTTGCTTCACAGCGTGGCCTCTCCTGGGCACCTCCAAGCCCAATATAAGTAGCAGCCATCTGCAGATCTCTCTGTAGCTCCTGCCCAGTGGCCCCAGGCAGTGGCTGACTTTGCACCTCCCGGGAGGCCCCAGAACCAGTGCACCTCGTGGACAGCTTCAGACCATACTAGATTACAACTCTACACATCCACAAGCCACACACTCAAGGGGCAGACTCAGTGAACACCAAAGCCCCAATGAAGCAAGTCCTGCTCCACAGGGTGTCTCCTGCACAGCAGCTCTTCCACTGTAGTCACAGCTGGTCCTCACAGCCAATTAGCCTGGAGGTCAGTTCCTCCCAGTGATGCCAACAGCAATCAAGGCTCAACTACAAGACTGCACACAGCCCACACAGGGCACCCAGAGTGCCCAGCTCAGGTGACTGGAGAGGCTGAGCCACTGGGCCCTACAGGACACCTACTATACGAGGACACCCTACCAATTCCAGGAGACATAGCAGCTCTACCTAATACATGGGAATAAACATAGGGAAGTAGCCAAAATGTGGAGACAAAGAAAAATGTCACAAATGAAAGAAATGAAAGCAAGAAAACTACTGGATACAGAGTTCAAAACCATGGTTTTATAAGGTCACTCAAGGATCTTCTTGAGAGCTTCAAGGGACTTAGTGAGACTTTCAAGAATCTTAGTGAGAATTTCAAAGATATGAAAAAGGACCAGTCAAAAATTAAGCATAATTAACTGAAATAAAGAATAATTTACAGGGATTCAACAGTAGAGTAGAGGATTCTGAGAATCGAATAAACAATTTGGAATATGAGGGAGCAAAAACACTCAATCAGAAGAGCAAAAAGAAAAAATAATCCAAAAATATGAAGATAATATAAGGAGCCTCTGGGACAACTTCAAGTGTACCAACATTCACATTATGGAGGTGCCAAAGGAGAAGAGAGAGAGCAAGATATTGAAAACCTATTTGAAGAAATAATGACATAGCTCTAGCTGGTTTGGCTCAGTAAATAGAGCGTTGGCCTGTGGACTGAAGGGTCCCGGGTTCAATTCTGGTCAAGGACACATGCCCAGGTTGTGGGCTCAATCCCCAGTAGGGGGCATGCAGGAGGCAGCCAATCAATGATTCTCTCTCATCATTGATGTTTCTATCTCTCTCCCCTTCTCCCTTCCTCTCTAAAATTAATAAAAATATATTTTTTAAAAAAGAAGAAAAAGAAAAAAGAAAGAATGACATAAAACTTCCCCTACCTGGTAAAAGAAATAGGCTTACAAGTCCAGGAAGCCCAGAGAGTCCCAAACAAGAGGAACCCAAAGAGGCCCACACCAAGACACATCATAATTAAAATACCAAGGGTTAAAGACAAAGAGAGAATCTTAAAAGCAGCAAGAGAAAAGCAGTTAGTTACCTACAAGGGAGTACCCTATGACTGTCGGCTGACGTCTCAACAGAAACTTTATGGCTAGAATAGAGTGGCAAGAAATATTCAAAGTGATGAATAGCAAGGACCTACAACCAAGATTACTCTACCCAGCAAAGCTATCATTTAGAATTGAAAATCAGATAGCTTCAGAGTCAAGAAAAAGCTAAAGGAGTTCATGACCACCAAAC